GGTTTGTTTTCTCTATGGGTAGTCTCTGTATTTTCAAAAACTAACCCCATGGGTTTTAAGTTAAAAAAAAAAAATTAAGAAGAAAAGCTCTAACAACAAAATATGAAACTACGTTCAGACACGTTCTATGTATTGTTAAGTACAGGAAAATCTACAAAACCCCACTGCAGACACCACCAGGATGAGTAATATGCTACACACACCCAGCACTTCCAGGCCAGAGTGACACCACTGCGGTTACCCAGAACCACACTGGTCATCTGGTTCTCCACCCATTCTCAGATCCCCTACTCCAGCCAAGCTCGCACTTGCCCAATCAGCTCAGAACAGGAGAAGAAAAGATGCGCACCAGCCCTCCTGATCTACCCCCTGAGGGCAGCCCACTTGTCCAACATTTCCTCTTTCCAGAGCTCATATGATGTGGGTGGCCCTGAGTGGGTCAGACACACCCCTGGCCACAAATGGAACAATTCGTTCTTCACCCCCGCCTTTGCCCTCACTCCCCTTCACAGCGCCCCCAGATCTCTGGCATGCGCATGATGGCTTCCCCCGCCAAAAAAGAAACTACTTTTGCCAGGAGTAATAAAAACATTTACTCTGAGCCTTTCTTGCAAGATCTTTCAGGGTGCCCACCAGGCTGACTCCTGCACATTTCCGGCTCCCCCACCTTCTCCAATTTTCCTGTCGCTATCACCATGTCTTCTTCCATTCAAGGCTCTGTCGTCTGACGTTCTCTCTCCCCTGGCTTCAGCCCTACACAGGCGGCTCCCCAGTCCCACACCTGGATGTCAGCTCCCCACATGGAGTGCTGTGAACATTCACTCTTGTCAGCCACTCCCAGCGTGACTCGGGAAGCCATGCCATCATAGGGCGCAAACTGGGACACCCGGCTCAGGCCCCAGAGCCCTCCATCCCACAACCAAAGGGCTGGGTGCTCGCCCCTGAACACCTGGGAGTGCATCACACAGTGTCTTCCTTCCTCTGAGCTTACAAGTTTGCCTGCAAATAACCTACCAGTTCCTCACCAAGAGCAAGCCAGCCATCAAGTGCTTTTTCTTCACTTATTTATAAAGAACACAAATGTAAAAGATCAGTCTCTGCCAGGAAGCTCCTCGTTAGCACACCCTCAGGCACCAGCCCCACGCCCCTCCCCACTCCCACCCACCACCCTCCCCATAGGTCCCCATATTAAGGCTTCCTGTAGAGTGAGCTCCCACTGGGCTTCCCAGAGCTCTTTAAGGCCAGCAGACTTAGATCAACACCACCCTAAGTGACCCTAACTGTGACTCTCAGGGAGCAAGGGTGGGGTTTTGGTTTCTTTCCCTAAAAGCCCGGAGCCACATACAAACGGATCTTCCCCATTCCCAGCAACCAGTTTCACAGTCAAGGGTCACGAGGAGCAAAGCAGAAATGGAGCCAGACACACTTCCCATCACTGGCCCCTCTCCCAGTGTCCCCAAAGCCACCCCCATCCTTGCATCTAGGTAATTAAGACAGCCCATTCCAGAGACTGCGGGTGGAATAAAGCTGCCCCTCAGGATCCAGGGTCTCCATGTGACACCCAGGACAGGACTACTTTATATCCACACCCACTTAACGTTCACCTCGACGGGGAGTGTGTAGCATTCACTGGGGGCCGAAGGGGAATAAATCACAATTCATTTACAGGCTCTGCAATGTAAGTATACCTCGTTCCACTGCTTGGACCGTTTGACAAGAGCCCATTCCCTCTTCATGCGCCACCTGAACAACCAAGTTCCTACCGCTCCCCCCTTACCTGAGAACCCAGAAATCACAGCCCAGCCCTGCCGTGCCTAGAAATCTGTGCCCACTGCTTTTGTGTATTTTAGAATGTTGAATGTTATGCTGTTATACACTTGGATCATCTGAATGGGTAAAATGACGACTTTCTACATTTTTACTTGTCCGTAGCACGGTCTGGTTTAGAAACAGAACTCAGCTTCGAGCCCCACTTTCCAGAGATGATAAAAATCAGTCTCAGATGGACTCTGAAAAACAAACTGAGGGTTCTAGAGGGGAGGGGGGTGGGAGGATGGGTTAGCCTGGTGGTGGGTTTGAGGAGGGCACATTCTGCATGGAGCACTGGGTGTTGTGCACAAACAATGAATCATGGAACACTTCATTTAAAACTAATGATGTAATGTATGGGGATTAACATAAGAATAAAAAAAAAATCAGTCTCAGAAAAGGCATTCTTTGGGTCATGCCACACACTTTTCTTGAACACCCACCTGTGCCAGGTGGTGAATGGTCCTTGTAAACTCACCCATCCCCGAAAGGTGGGTGCAGAGGCTTCTTGCAAGAGGAGCAGAGGAGAGAGGAGAGGGAGTGTGGGGCAGGGGGAGATACTCAGAGGACAGCAGGCTGCCACCTGTGTGATTCGTCTCTCCCTGCTCAGCAGCCTGCCGAAGCCATCCCACTGGGAGAACGGTTCTGTGGTTTCCCATGCCTGGGGACTGCAGGGTAGAACGGTCCAGGTCCACCGGGTAGAACGGGCAAAGCACCAGGGATCTCCAAACACATTCAGTCCATGCCACAGGAGAGGGCGCAGGCCCATGGGACCAATGCCACTGCCCAGGGCCCGGGCTCGCTACATGCCCTCTCCCTTATGCACAAAACCAACCTCGCCCACCACCCCGCTTCCATCCTCCGCAGCACATCCCACCCAACCTTCCCCCCAGGTGGAGCTTCTTAGACGATCTCCAATCTACAAAAGGGGAAAAGAGACCACTCACTCCTCATGGGATAGCTGCAAGGTGTAAATGAGTTAACGTGTAAAACCTGCAGGATAGCGTCTGGCAAAAAAAAGCAAGCATTCAACATGTGTTAGCTCTTTTTTTTTCCTTCAGGATTTTATTTATCTATGTGACGGAGAAAGAGAGAGAAAGGACAAGCAGGCAAAGCAGCAAGCAGAGGGAGAGGGAGAAGCAGACTCCCCGAGGGGCAGGAAGCCCTACGAAGGGCTCCATCCCAGGACCCTGGGATCATGACCTGAGCCAAAGGCAGACGCTCAACCAAGTAACCCACCCAGGCGCCCTCACATGTTAGCTCTTGAGGTTGTTCTGATTAGAGTTTCCATAATGCAGGCACAGCGGGGCCCATTCTACGGGCACTCACCTGAGAAGGGGTCCTGAGAACTGGAAAATGGGGCCTGTGCTGCTCTGCTGGGCAGACCTGTATTCCGTCTGGCTGAAGACCGGCTGTATATGTGCGGCTCGTCATCCTCAGCCCATCAGAATGTAAACAATCTTCATCCCTCTGTTTCTCCCGCTACCCAGACCCCCTCCAGACTTCTCCACCGTATTCACCTCCCGCTGCTGTTGTAACAAGTTACCGCAAACTCAGTGACTGGCACATGAGTATTATCTTTCAGATCCAGAGGTCAGAAACGCAAAATCACTCTCACTGAGCTGACGTCAAGGTGTCCACTGGCTTCGTTCCTTCTGGAGGCTCGAGAAGAGACTCCATTTCCTTGCCTTTTCGGCTTTCAGAGGACGCCAGCATTCCTCAGCTGGTGGTCCTTTCCCACATCATCACTCCACCATCTTGCTTCCACCATCACCTCTCCTCATACTGACTCAGACTTCCTTCTTCCTCTGATAAGGACCCCTGCGATTATGTCAGGCCCGCCCAGATGACCCAGGATAAGGTCCTCATCTCAAGCCCCTTAACTTAATCACAGCTACAAAGCCCCTTTTACCACATTAGGCACATATCCACAGGCTCCAGGGATTAGGACCTGGACATCTTTGGGGGGCCATCTATTAGCCAGACACACTGGCCTAACACATTTGTCATATCCAGCTGTTCTCGTTCTGAATACTGGGGCTGGTCCAAATTGCCTAATCCACCATACTGGAAGTCAGTATGACATTGCATATTCACACTTTTAAAGATAACTCTGGCCAATGTGTGAAGGACAGACTTGGGGTGGGGGAACCAAAGTAGAAGTGGAGAAGCCAGCTAGTGGGCTTACCAGAAATATTCTGGGTAAGAGATACATACAGTAAGCTGAAGAATCAACAGGACTCTGTGACCACCAAGATGCTGAGTTAACTGGTTGGAGGAACTGAATGAGAACAGAGGAAAGGAAACGTGTGTGGAGGGGACGATGAGGAACTTTGGGCTGGGACATCCTGAATTTGAGGTGCATGTGACATGTCCAAGTGCAGACGGGAAGGTGGCAGTGGGCTCTCTGGAGAGGAGGGAGGTAACGATGTCAAGCATGAAGAACTCTGGGAGTGCCCCCCTAGTGCAGGGAGAGGGAGCCTGGGCCACGTAATGACTTGCTGTGAAAGGGAGCTCATTCTGCCCCTTCCCCCATCTTTTGGTGTCAGCCCTGCCCTCAGTGTGTCCCCTGCAGAGAGAGATGTCCCTCACAGGGCAATGCGACATGATCACTCCCAGGGAGAGTGGCCTTGCCCCTCACTGCCTCAGCCCCCATCTTACCTCAGTTCTGGGTGATGCTGAGGGTCCTGATACTGGGCTATGGTCTTCACAGGCCCCAGCTATGGACAGTCTGTCTATCCTATAGCCTCATCAGAGGAATATCTTTGCCCACCATTGAGGCACTCTGATTCTCTTTCCTAGCTCCCTTTAACATGTCTCACTCACATCTACACGGAAACTTCCAGAGGTCTTTATTCCACACACAAGCCATGGGAAATCCCAAGCCTAATCCTCTAGAGCAGAGGTCAGAAAACTATGGCCCTTGGGCCAAATCTGGTCTGCTTTGTTTCTGTGATCAAATTTTTGTTAGAACACGGCTATGCCCATTCATTTATGAATTGTCTAGGGCTGCTCTGGTGGGAGAATGGCAGAGCTGAGTACCTGCAACATAGACTATCTGGCCCACAAATCCCTGGTGTAGACATTTCCTTCTCCCTTCTTCATAAGTGCTACCTAATGGGACCTGCACCAGGCTGGAGGACGTGGGAGGTAATGGGACCGCAAGCCTGAGTGCTCATGTTTTTACTCACCCATCTGGCTTCTACCATGTGGAGTGGGCTGTTTTCACGTTAGGCCCCTTCTCAGCGACTCAAGAAGCTTCTCCTTGGGGACTCCCGACTCCTGCAAGCTCTTCCTTCCAGCCGCAGCAGGCTTTCTGCTTCTCCTTCTGTCCTGCTTCCTGTTGGGTGGGAACTTCCCTTCCATCATCCCCTCTGTCCTACCAACATGGAGCATGAGGGTCAAAGAATTTCCAGGCCTTTAAGCTTTGTTCTCAGTGTATAAAGGAAGGCTCCTAGAATTTAGAGATTCCTTTTCACTTGCAACAAAGCGTGGTTTTCATGACTATAGTCTCTCTAGAGACTCAGCAAAGTGTTGGGACTCAAAGCTCAGTAATGAGTGTTTTGTTCTAGGGAGAGTACCTGCTATTCCCCCAAAGCAATAAATGTTCTTGAATGAATGGGTGGGAGAGCTGCAGGATAACATGATTTATGGGAAGTTAAAAAATGGGCCAATTTAAATTCTCAAAAACATTATTCTTGCAATAACTCGAGTGAGGTCCAGAAAGTTTATACCAAGTGGTAGGAAGAGGGGTATGGAACAGGACTTGGAAAATGGGGGCAGGACTCAAGGAGAACCAGCAGGACTTCAGCTCTGTTATCCAGTCTCAGACTATGTGACCTGCCCTCTGGCGTTCTCCTGCCAATGCACTTAGTTTGGGTGGGAGAGGAGAAAGAGAAGACCATTTATAGTAACGGAAAAAAGGTTAAGATCAGTTACTGGCAGAGGAACCAGAGGGAAGGGTCTCCAATCCAGGGATCCAGGAGAAAAGGCCTGAGAGAGAGATAAGCTCATCTGCATGATGAGCCCCCAGACCACAGGTCCCAAGAGGACAAGCAAGAAATGGGACTTTACTAAAGCAGGTAACTCAAGGCCATCTGCAGAACTACAGATGGAACGTCAGGCCCCCAGACCCCCATGCCCTCACCCCAGCACTTCCAGCACTGGTGTGTGTTTGCAGGCAGAAACTAAAATAATGCTGTATGCACCAAAGAAGTGAGCTTTCTGCCTTGTCCATCTCCAAAGAGAGAAGTCATGCCCCAGAGCCGAAGCTCTTCAGAGTAGCCCAAGATAAGGAGGAGAGGCCGCTAGCCTCTTCACAGCCCAAGGGCTCAAAGGAATAGCCTCCAGGTGATATATATGCCTTGTCCACGTCCAGAGAGAGCGATGTCAGGCCTTCATTTGACGGGAGGACAGGAAAAGAGATGAAAACATGCCAAGCACCTCTTTTAACCAACTTTCACATTCCTTACATTATAAACAGCAAAGGACAACCAAGAACCACCACACCAATAAGAAAACTCACACGCAAAAATAGGCAGATTTAGAAAAATAAACAGACTGACCCTAGAGCCAAGAGAACTCAAGGATAAGAAGAAAACTGATTTTACTTAATTCCAACGAGTACCCTGAAATAGAAATGAAAAACCAGAAAGGAAGACCAATGCTAAGAAAAATCAGCGGAAAAGATGAAAGAGATCATCACAATTTTCATTATGATTGCTGGGTAAGTACAGAGTTAATCTCACCCGGTCTGTTGCAACCTCCACTAGTCTCCAGAGAGACTTGGAACCACAGGCGCAGATAGTTAGCCAAACCAGAATGAAATGCACCAACTAGCAATTAATGTCAACCTCTGCTAGGGTCCCAGGCTGACCCGGGCAACCCGCACCAACTCAACAGACTGTCTATACAAAATGTTCAGACTGATGATTTGCACTTGGCTTCTCTAGAGTTTTCTCTTTTGAACCTGGCTGTGTAGCCTGGCTTTGGCTACGTGACCGGGAAGGGTAGAAAAGATGCACTTTCGGGTAAGACTGTTGCTCTCAGATATCATGACAGTTCACAAAAGCACATCCTGTGCTACAGAGTAAGGACCCCGGGAGCTGCCCCCGGGGTGGCCCAGAGCTCCCTGATATTTGCTCATGCTTCTTTCTCCTGCTGCACTGAACTCTCCCTTCATTAAAGCCTTCCCAGGTACACCCTGCAGTCTCGAGAATCCTTTCAATTGTCCAGCCCTGTGTCAATGGCTGCAATTACTTCTTAAAATTTCCACAGATGATCCAGAAGCTGAAGCTGAAGAAATCTCTCAGATGACAAAGCGAAGGGCAAAGACATCTAAAACAAAGGGAGGACAAGCTGAGGAGCCTAGAAGATCAACACAGGTCAAACATCCAGTGAACAGGAGTTCCATGAAAGAACCCAAAAAAACTGAGATGCAGAAATAATCAAAGAACCAGATTTCCAGCGTTAAAGAAGGGACACACTGAATGGCTGAGACCCTTCACTAAATACTGCAGAGTTATCAGAACACCCAAGAACAAAGAGTAGACCCTAGAAGCTCCCAGAAGGGAAAAACTGGGTATACTGGCAACAAAAGAAAATAAGCCAGATAGGCATTGGACCTCTGTCCATTGACATGAGACAGGAAGACAACTGTGTGCCTGCCACCAAAGAAATAACAGAAAGGTTGAAAATATTTAACTTTGAGGAATGGGGAAGGCAGGAGCTGAGGGATGGATTTTTTGCATTTCAGTCTGTACCCTTCCATGCTATTTGAATGGTAATTTCCACAAAATCAGATAGCTAATACTTTTGTCATCACCATCAGAATTGCCATCACCATCCTAAAACATAGAGGAATGTGTGCTTTCAAGAGAACAGGCGCCTCCAGGGCTGTTTTCTCCACACTGAAACACTCTTTCTCTTTCTCCTAAACTCTGATTCCATTCCCCTCACCTGAGAGGTGCCCCGGGGATTACGCTTAACTGCCGCTGGTAGAACTCTTGAAGTCCCTGGGCAGTGCCTTGCTCAAGGGGGTTCCCGGCTCTTTGTTTTCTTTTGTTTGTTGTTATTGCTGCTGTTGTTGATTATATAGCAACAAAAAATAAAAAGTATCATGGACTATGTATTTTTTCAAAGAGAAAGTCCATCTTGGAAGAAGCTATTTACCACCAGTTACGACATACCTAAGCCTCCATTAATCCACTTCTTAGGTGTTATTTCCCGTCAAGAAAAAAAAGAGTGCACACTCAGCCTCACCCCTTTCTTTTGGCACCAAAAGGCAATGGAGGGCATGGAGAGAAGACATGGGGGACACCGATGCTGAAGCTGATAAATTGGCAGGTGAAGAGCAGATGCTGTGTTCCTTTGTCTTTCTCTGAGTCTGGGTCAAAAATCAGCATCCAAACAGGTAGTGAGTGTCCCTTTGTGAACAGCTGACAAGAACTCCGTGGGAAATAACTGGAAAAAAAAAGTATGTTTTTTTCTTAAATCAGGTGATTCTGATGAGTATGTGCTCTTTGTGACTAAGTAGCTTATTAACATGTTAAGTAGATGTCATTACCACAGTACTTTCAAATTTTGCTGAGGGTTCCAAATCTCCATTTAAAATCACCATCCAAGTTCACCATCAAAGCCATTATCTATAATTTCTCATCATGGATGAGAAGCCAACACTTCACTTATAATTAGATAACTTCAGTATTTTTCAAATAAAAATTTACTTTTTCATGAGTTTCAAATTTTCTATATTTTCTCTATAAAAGAATGTGCTTAAATTTTAAGGACTTATTTTAGAACAATTAAATTGCATGCTTAGGTGGTAATTGAGTCATAGTCTCTAGTAGCTGCTGACACAAAAGAAGTCATTTGTCTACATTTGCCATGCCCTGAATACCTGACTGAACATCCCCCCCGCCTCCAAAAATGCCAGTATCCTCAATTCCTATAGGCTCCTTAAGTCACCGTTCACTTCACTACACTGTACCCGTTAAGGAAAATACAATGTCAACAGTTAGATGTCGAGGAGATAAAAGCAGGCCATGATTACAAATTGAAACCATAATTCCAAAACATGATATCAATGTCAGGTCAGTTCAAGTGCCTAAATGCAGAAACAGAATTTGGGTTGCGTGAACCTAGCCTGAACCTAGACATGGTGGCGACGGTGGGCCTGGAAATCAGGCCTTCACTAGAAATCACACCTGGTGTCTCAAAGAAAGGGCCCAGGGCTACCCCAGATGGTCACATGGGCAGACACTCCTATAGAGCCTCCAGAAAAGCTAATAGGAGTCATTACGTATACTGCCCCAGTGAGAAAGGCAAAGTGGTTTCTCCAAGGACGGAGGGGGTCCTCCCTTCATCAGGCAATGTTCTCAGTGCTTGTGGAGAACCAAGGAGGGTGGGTGCTGGGGGCCAAGAGGAAGCCCTACCCGAGCTTTTGCTGTGTCTATCAACATCTCTCCTTCTGTTGCTGTCACCCTGACACCAGCTCTGTGAGGATCAAGCACCTCACACATGGTTAGAATTCATCAACAAATACAGCAACAATATCAACTAGTCTGAGAAGCCATCATGGGCTTTATTACATTTTCTTTACTCTTCAATAAAACCACAGGATATGGTACTTTTTGACCTTTTCAAGATTCAAATTCAAAATTCCCCAGTAAAAGACTGAACTATGAAGCAAAAAAATATTCTCCCTCATGCATTCGAAGTATATATACTATATAATGTTCAAAATCTATTTCCTTTTGAACTAGCCTTTCAAATTGAGCCAGGGACAGAGAAAGGTTCCAGAGATTTCTTCCTGAGGGGCTGCTGGGCAGGGGGTAGGAGCTGGTGGAACTGAGGGGTAGGAAGGGGTGAAGAAACCATTCGGCTTGAATGAAAAGGATAGTAATCATATCAATCATTTAATTTGGTATGCTATTAGAAAATTCAGATTGGGGGCGCCTGGGTGCATAGTTGATTAAGCATCTGACTCTTGGCTTTGGGTCAGGTTGTGGGGTCAGGTCATGACCTCAGGGTCATGGGATCGAGCCCCGCATTGGGCTCCATGCTCAGCACAGAGTCTGCTTGAGTTTCTCCCTCCCTCTCCCTCTGGCCCTCCCCTGCCTCTCTCTCTCTCTCTCTCTCTCAAATAAATAAATTTTTTTTTTTTTTAAATTCAGACTGATGGGGCACCTAGCTGGCTCAGTCAGTAGAGCATAAAACTCTTGATCTCAGGGTTGTGAGTTCGAGCCCCACATTAGGTATAGATAATACTTAAAAAAAAATTAAATCTTTAAAAAAAAAGAAAGAAAATTCAGAGTGAAATAGATTGTCCAAGATGAAAATATAACCACCAGAAGAAGGGAGAAGCAGAGGAGAGGAAGGTTGGAGAATGGAATAAAAATCAACTTGAGAACAGATATTTATACAGCCACGTACACAGCATTATTCACAGGAGCCAAGAAGTGGAAGCAACCGAAGTGTCCACTGAAGGGTGAATGGATAAGCAGAATATGGTACATATATACAACAGAATATTATTCAGCCTTAAAAAGAATGGAAATTCTGTCACATGCCACGACATATATGAACCTTGTGGACATTATGCTGAGTAGAATAAGCCAGTCAGAAAAAAGACAAATATTACATGATTCCACAACATGAGGCAAAATGTTTCCTACTGAGTGCAGCTGAGGTAAAGGTTGCGGGGTGGCAGTTATGATGGCCAGGGGCTTAGCTAATGTCCAAGCTGGAAGGAAAGTCAGGATCTCTGGTCCACAAGAGGTAGGGAAAGCCGGAACTGAAATCAAAGTATAAAGCTACCACCCTCAAAGAATGAACATTCAATAAATTTCTGGCATGCACATGATGTAGGAACTCTCAAACAAGTAAATTAACAGAAAATTTGGTTCTGGAAAATTTGGTTTTTGGAAAAAAAAAAAAAAGTTCTGCAAAGCCTCTCCAAAGGAACAAAAGCTCATCTGACTACATGAGGATTCCACAGCAGAAGAGCACTGAAGATGAGCTCAACCCCTCTCCCCCTAAAAAACACTATCACAAAATATATAAGGAAACCAGATCACCCACCCATGAGCAGACAACACACAGGAGTAGTCTACAGAACTTCTAGTAAGGGAAACACCAAATGCCAAGGTATATAAAACCATTTTTGCTTAAATTTACTAAAGACATAAAAGAGAATCAAGACCTTAAGAAAAAGACAAAGTACTATGACAGAAGAAGAAAAGACAGATTTAGAAAACACCAAAATAGAACCTTTAGAAATACAGTCATTGAGATCAGAATCTCAAAGGACATGTTCAATAGCTGATAAGAAACAGCTAAAAACAGAACCTGTGAAATGGAAGAAACATAAGGAAGTTATTCAGACTGTGGCACATAAAGACAGAGTTAGACAATCTAAACAAAAGGAAAAGGGACAGGCAAGATAGAAGGAAGTCCAAGATACATATAGAAAGAAATGATCAATCTTCTGACTCAAATAGCTTAACTCCAGAAAGGATTCATGACATAAATCCACATTTGTTGGAAGTGCAGACCATCAAGTCAAAAAGATAACCTTTAAAGCAACCCAGGAAAAGGCAGATTTCTCACAAGCAGACTCAGCAAAATTTCTACAAAACCAGAGGCCAGAAGACATCCTCAAAATACTGAGGAAAAATAACCATCAACTTAGAATTCTACACCCAGATCAACAATCCTTCCAAAAGATAGAGTGAAACAGAGAATTTTTTCAGACAAATAGGCATTCACAAACCTTCACTGAAAGAATTACTAAAGACACCTTTGACTAAAGAAGAAATTTAAACCCCAAGGAAGTAACAGGATATAAGAAGCAATGACAAGCAAAGAAACTGATAAATATATGACTCAATCAAGAAAAGGTGTTGACTCGGGGCACCTGGGTGGCTCAGTCGTTAAGTGTCTTCCTTCAGCTCAGGTCATGATCCCAGGATCCGGGGATCGAGCCCCACATCGGGCTCCCTGCTCAGCAGGAAGCCTGCTTCTCCTTCTCCCACTCCTCCTGCTTGTATTTCCTCTCTCACTGTGTCTCTCTGTCAAATAAATAAATAAAATCTTTAAAAAAAAAAAAAGAAAAAGAAAAGGTGTTGACTAGGGATGCCTGGGTGGCTCAGTCGTTAAGCATCTGCCTTTGGCTCAGGTCATGATCCCAGGGTCCTGGGATCGAGCCCTGCATCGGGCTCCCTGCTCTGCGGGAGGCCTGCTTCTCTGTCTCCCACTCCCCCTGCTTCTGTTCCCTCTCTCACAGTGTCTCTCTCTGTCAAATAAATAAATAAAATCTTTAAAATAAAAAAAAGGTGTTGACTATAAAAATTACAAGGATAATGAAAGTCTCTAAGGTTGTTGCAATTTTTTTTAAAAAGGCAGGTGTGATGACACTAATATCAAAGTGGGATCCAATACCAATAGCTCAGAACAGAACAAAGATGTACACTATGTTATGAAAAAAGATATCATCAATAAATAAGGTGTAGTCATAAACACACAAAAACGACATCAAGGTAAAAAACATAAAGCAAAGTCATAGAAATACAAGAATGTAAAACATAAAACAGAGGGGATGACTTTAACATACCTGTGAAACAATGCAACATATCACAAAGACAACAACAACAAAAAGATTTAACTCTGAAAAAATTAACAATGTACTGATGATTTTTTAAAACTGCTAAAATACAAAAAGAAACTTTGCAAGCCGCATTGACTATCATTAGGTAAAACAAGAAATCGGTAACAATGACATCCAACTTCCACCTCTCAAAAAAGACTATCTGCAAGGCACCTAGGTGGATCAGTTGGATAAGTGTCTGCCTTTGGCTCAGGTCATGATCCTGGAGTCCCAGGATCAAGTCCTGCATTGGGCTCCTCATTCAGCGGGGAATCTGCTTCTCCCTCTGACCCTCCCCCTCTTGTGTTCTCTCTCTCTCACTCTCTCTCAAATAAATAAATAAAATCTTTTAGAAAAAAGACTATCTGCTAATTAAGAAAAATAATTTTACAGAAGCCCAGGATCAAAGAAAAATCAAAATTAAACTTATAAACATCTAAAGATTAGTGTAAATGGGAGAACTCTCTATTGAAATCAATGTGTTACAAATATACGTAAACTCAATAAAATTTTAACTGTAATTGCTTTTATTATAAAAAAATGAATATGTCAAATATGCAACTGACGTATCAGTTACATATCACAAATCTACCAAACTAAGAAAATAAAACAGAGGAGGAATGTATAAGGATAAAAAGTGGAAATTGATGAACTAGAAATGATTATAATAGACTGCCAGTGACAATTCTTAGTAGAAAAAAAAAAAAAAACAAAAGCCAAAATTCACTGAAGAAGACAACTTGAATAGACCAATATGTAAAACAATTAAGTTATTGAGAATCTATCACTTAAAAAAAAATCTATCATTTAAAATAGG